AACTACCCACTACCCCTGGTTAAACAAGTACTCCCTGAAGGGACTGAGAAGACTCCCTGAGGGCAGGGATCTTGTCTATCTCTAGCACAAAGTCTGGCTCATAAAGATTTGTTGAAAGAAATGTGTAAGTTATTGTCTCTGGGGATATCTACTATTTGCCAAGTATGAAGAAATATAAACTAAAATATGCTGAGAAAATACATGCAGAGAAAAAGGATAGTTATAAACCATCCTACTAGGATTCTTCTTCTCATTTGCCCAGTGATTCACATGCATTTTTCCACTTTGTAGAACACACAGCCCCGCCTTGCTTCACCACTACTATCACAACAATAACCAACATCTCTTCAGCTCTAGGGTGCCGGGCTCCACCTCAGCACTTGATGTACGTTGTCACGCTTGGTTCTCACCACAACTTTCTTTTACAGGTTGGTTAGCGGAGCCTCAAAAGGTAACCAACCCAGCCAAGGTCACAGAGCTAAAAGGAGCCCAGAAGCCTGCATTTTAGTCCCCACCTGCCAGTTAGTGTCCTGCCCACAGGCAGAAAGGATCTTTACAGGCATTCTCAGGTTGAGTTCTGCCTGCCTCATGGCCTAGCTTTTTCAGGCAATCTCCCTCGGGTTAAACCTGGGTCTACCCCAGGCAAGATGAATTATCTGATGCACTGGCCGCAACAGGTCCAAACCAGTTATCTCTGTGGTAACTCCCACTTCTCCTTTGCAAGAGGACGACCCATACCCCCTTGTTAACCAGAAGCTCCCACAGGAGTTCTTCTGATTGGTAGGGTCCCAGAAGGCCCATGACTCCTCTCAGTCCTCCTCCCTCAGATGGCTGGCATTCTTGTCGGTGCGATTCCTTTATCATATCACTGAGATCGAAAATGAAATGAAACCTGAGTCTTGGGTCGTCCCATCACCATGGAAACAACGTCAAGCCTGAGCGCCTCCAGGAGTGGGTGCTGTTCTTCCAATGGCAGTGGAAAATCAGGGACAGGGAACTGGACGAAGCAAAAAACAAGCTCCTGCTGGGTTGGCGGCAGTTTGGGTCATAAATACAGCATGTTCAACATAGGATTATGTCTTCGGCAACAGCATGATCAACCTATATTCTTCATTTTGGACACTGTGCTGGTTTGGTACAGAACATACCAGGCAAATGAACGACAACTCAAATTATCCCACTTTTGTGAAGGGACATTTTAAAGTCTATTAAGGTGGCTCAAAGAATGTGGTTGGGGAAAAAAAATATAATCGGTAATAAATTTTAAGAACATTCTGTGGATGAATTTTTGCTTCTGGGAATGGGAAACCAAAATTTTCCCAAGAGACTCCATTATTAAAGCCATAAATAAAACATCCCTGCTTGGTTGCTGTGCTGGCAGGGCCTTGCTCTGGAGAATTAGAATTAGAAGCAGGCAGTCCAGGGGAGGCTGGGGAGGTGAGTGAGATTTGAGAACATTCTGCTCCTTCTGCATGTTGCCTGCATATCAAGACCAGGGTGCAAGAACAAAGAGCAAATTATGCCTGACTGAAGACCACCAAAGATGGTTACTATCAAAATTCTCAAACAAGATTCTAAAATTCAAGGATGTTTTTCTAGCTGATGCCCTTTTTTTCTTTCCATAAATGTTCACCCCCTAGAGCTAAAAGCAAGTAGCGTGGTGCAGGGACCACTAGCCTGATCACCTGGGTGCTGGGTTCTAATGTCAGTCCGCTACTTCCCAGGCCCATGAGCAGGTGTTGATGACTTACCCTCCTCTCCTCTTTTGTAGAGGTGGGTTAGAGGAATGAATTTTGGATCCTCACTATCCTAGTGCTAACAGTGCTGGCGGGGTGGGGTGGGGGGCGGGGAGTGACACTTGCAAAATCCTATTTGATCTAGGCAATGTACTGGGCATTTTATGGCTATTATTTGACCCTGACAATAACTTGAGTGTGGTTGTTGGTATCCCTGATTAACAGATGACAGAAACTAGTCCCGAGAATTGCAGGGACTTCCTCAAAGTAATCAATATATAATCATGCAGTCAGGCTTCAAATCCCCATCTATCCGACTCCAAAGCCAACATTCTTTCTACTTGACCCTGCTAATTTCTGAGCTTGGAATAAACCATTAGCATGATTTTAATTCAAAATAAATACAACTCACTAGTTCTGTCATAGTTTTTAAATGATTTGCTAAGGCCTCGAAAAATTCAGCTTTCCCAGCTATCCTGTCTCTCATTAAAGTGATCCCATTATCACCTGGGTGGAGGAGGGGGGAGAACAGAAGTATCTTCCTGCCACATGAACTCTTATTAATGTTTGGCTTGTTCTAAGCTGGCCTGGAGAGTTACCCCAAACGTCCGCACAGAGATGGTATTGAATGTTAGTATATTTAGTCACTTCTGCATGGGCATGGTTTTCATTTCCATCTTTCCTATCAGTCTGAACAACTGAAAGCAACACTTTTACCTCTTAACAATCATAACCCTGCAATTAACAGGCCTGAAATCCTATAAAATCAAGGTATGGTACAACTCAACTCTTCCTCAGTTCTGAGCTCCTGGCTTCCAATGGAAAAGCCAGAATTTCTATTTCGTGATAAAAAGAATAAAACGGGAGACAACTAGACAGCCATGAGTTTGGGTGTGTGTGTGTGATCTAATCTGCCAAAAAGTTTCCTATTTGGTGGTTATTCCTGCTTCCTGAATGGCAGGCTGGGGCCACAGAATGGAGGGGGTGTGCCAGCTCGTCCACGAGCATGTTATTTATGTCCTGAACCTCAGTTTTGTCTTCTGTAAAATGGAGTATTTGCTTCATAGGCATGTTGCAAAATTAAGCAAATAATGTACGTAAAGATCAAATATAACAGTCCACTTCATCCCACTCCCAACTCAAAATAGCACTGTGTAATCATGACAACCATTTCATTACTGACTCCTTGCGAGGTGCCAGGCACTGGGCTGAGCCCTTTCCGTAGATAACCTTTTCACTAAGTGAAACCAGTATTTGAAATCAGGTGCCCTAACTCCAGAGATTGCCCTGTGCCCTGCTCTAGGTTCAGATGAAAGGATTTATGAGCAATTGCTTCTGCAGGAAACAGGTGCCGGAGAGGGTAGTGAGGGTGGTGGCTGATGATGATTTGACCAACAGGGAGGGCCAGGCATAACTCTTTGTTCTCCCACTCTGCACAATTAGTACCACTGATTTTCTGCTCCCTGGGGTTAGTTTCCTGACTAGACTAGGCACGTAACAGACGTCCAAAAAAAAAAAAAAAATGCTTGTTGAATAAGTAAATGCAAATAGTAAACTGACTGTTCCTGATATAACCATTTACCTTATGCAGGAAACATTCAGTGCTAACCTCCTCTCTTGTCCTCTTAGGGATACTAATATATTAAACAGATTTTGAATCCACATTAGTTCAATGTTCACCAAGCAGTTGTTAAGTACCTACTATTAATCAAGGGGCCAAGGATTACACATGTGATCTACTGCAGAGTATTAAGAACCAACAAAGCCGAGCTTACGTTCAGCTATGGAATACACAATCCTTTTCAGGTAGCAGCCACCTAATTTGCTGATTCACATTCCCTGACCCCTTACACATTAAACAGTCATGATGGGCAGACTGAGAAAGTGTCCTATGAAGCCACACAAGAATTAAGAAGGCTGGAGGAAGACAGAGACTGACATTTGGAACACAGTGCAGGGAAAGAACCTAGGGCGGTGAAGCCGGGCTAGGATTCCTGACCCTATCATTCCCGTGAAACCCTCCTGACCTCAATTTCATCATCAGTCAAATGGGAATCATCGGCATTTGTCATTGCTTTTCCCACAGAGCGGCGAGGACTCCTGGGATGACGTGAGGAAGAGCCTCACGGCGGGGATCTTAAGTGAGGTCACTTAGGCAAAGCACTCTAGCCGCGGTCCGGCCTGGTCCCCTGGATGGCCACTGGGGTGTGAGAGCTTGGAAAGGGGAGGACCCAAGGATTGCTGGCTGGGAAAGGGTTGTCTCCCGCACGTGTTACCTTTTCTCTCCTCCCGGTCGGCCAAAGGCAAACAAGAATGAAATGGTAACAGACACATCCACTGAAGCAAAACAGGTCACGGGATAAGATAATACGCTCAAGGACAAATAAAGTCAACTGCAGCCGGGCCCCGAATGGGTAGGCGAAAATTCACGGGAAGACAAGGTTATTTCTTCTTTTATAGAGAATAGGCTTTTAAAATACTTTCACCAGTGTGAAAACACACAAATACACACATTCGGGCAGTTTTAATATCCTCTTTCTTCACTATTTAGGTTGCCTATATAAGGTGAGAACGCTGTAAGTTGTGGAGGCAAGGTTTTGAAAAAGTTGATGTCTAGGCAAAAATACTTCATCTGTTAAATGAAGGCACCAAAATACAAAACTGTGTACGCTGACTGGCTATGCAAGGCTGTGCATATGGAAGATACTGGAGGAAAAGAAAAGCAGCTGATTGACTAGAATGGTCCAACTGCCTCACCCAGTGTCTAGAACCTAACAGATGTTTAATAAATATTTGTTCAGTGAGTGAGAAGACTTGATTTTCCATATACTGTAACTGTGAATACTCCTTTCCTCCTTTGTTAGCCAGTTATTCGGAGATAATGCTGCCTCTGTGACCTAATTTTGTTGTTTTACAATTCTTTTATCTCTTCACTTAATGCAATACAATTTCCCCCCAAAGAAATTGGCATAAACAGAAAAGTTTGCTGAGTTTAAGAATATGGGGTTTAGTAGACAAAAATCCTAAAGGTCACTCAGGCATTTCTGATATCTAAAGATAAGAGCAGCATTTGCAGATAAGCAGGAGACCTGATTTTTATTCATTAATTGGCCAACTGTCCTTGGAACAAACAACCCTGCAGGGTCTCAGTTGAGAGCTCTGTGACTGGGGTTAGATGACTTCCTACAGGCTTTTCAGTTACTTTCAACGTTAAAATCAAGTTAAAAACATGCTGGGTCAATTAAGACAGATGAGCCCTCCAAAGAATATTTGAAAACTTTATTTTCTCAAATGAGCACCAACACAGATTGGAAATAGGACAGAAACAATGCACTTTTCTCTAATACTGAATCACTATGTACAAATACAGGAAAAGGTGAAGACAAATTATTTGAAAATAATTATCTTTGTTATTGAAGCAAAGTGACCTGAAAAATGCCACCAAAAAAAAAAAAAAAAGGGGAAAGTAACAAAACCCAAACCCAACAAATACAGTTTGTAAACACAAGCATAAGTAGAGATTCCGTACTGAAAGATCGTCTCTGCAGGTTGGAAAAGGGAACCGACTCTCACTTTCACCAAAATGTTATATAAAAATATACAGGCAGATCGAATTTGGTGATGGGAATAGCTTGTTTCTTCTTGGCTTTTCCTTTCACTGCTGGCAGATTTCATGACTGTATTTTGCTTGAGAAAATGAAACATTTCTTTCCTCTACCTTGACCACTAGCTTGTTTTCTCATTTGAGGCAGACTCTTTGTTAAAATATGTAAGTTGATTGTGTTCAAGATTTGATTTCCCAGCCTCTTCCTGAACCTGAGGCAATCTGACCTTAAAATATAAACTGTTTACCTACAAGGTATGTGTATTATTTTACCGATGTTCTTTCAACCCAAACCAGTTAACAATGTGGCTTCTACAACCACTGGAACCCTGGGGTACATAAGGAGTACACTCACATCTCAGAAACACACAGACCTGACTCTGCTTGATCTTCACAAACAACAGATTTCCTTTACAATCTGGGAGAGTTGAGCACACAAAGAAAAAGGAGCAAAGTGGCAATAGCTCCATGCTCAGAAAAACAAAATCCTCATGGTTTGTGCTGTTGGTCCACTCAGAAACAAAACAAGCAGAGAGAAAGAGAAGAAAGCCTTATGTGCCCAAGGTGTAAACTGTAGGTATAGTGTCCCCAATAAAAGAAAACAGGAGGCACAGTCCAAAGTGCTTTTTACACACACACACACACACACACACACACACACACACACACACACGCATTAAAAACAAGATTCCGATTTGTTGGAAATTCTTCCAACAAGAGGAATCACTAAGCTGTTACTAAATCTGATTTTATTTATTTTCTTTTCTAGCAAATACTGGTGCAAGAAAATATTTCAATTCTCAACCTGGTAATGTACTGCAGAGTCTGCTCCATCTGGAAAAAAAATGCAGAGAGGCATTGCCTCTGTCCAGACTAAAGTGATACAGATCTTTTTTTTTAAAAGAGTATATTGGTGATCACTGTTTCCCTTAAAATATACTTCAAGAAATGCAGAGGAAACCATAGAATTTAAAAATGAAAATAAAAAGTGCTCTCAGGGGATCTGAGAAAACAGCACCAAATATATTATTTAAAAAATTAAATATTATTTACAAAAGTATATTTCACAAGCAACTTTTTTCATATATATATCCATTTGAAAATCTTTTTATAAAGGGGACACCTCTTTTTCACACACTGACCCACCAGTCAAGATTTACTCTATCCTATCTCCATGATCTTGCTGTCTCGGAGTCGGGGCAGCACTCAGTCAAGGCCCAGTTGACAATCTGTGGGCATCAAGTCTGGCTGTATTCGATTCATGTCAAATCAACCCGTCAGCAGCCTGAGACTAACATCCTGGGGTCTGGGTGTAATCCAGGGCCACCGAGGCCACATGACCTAGGATGGCACAGGGGAGATGGACCTAGAGAGTCTGCCAGCTGGACTTCAGTTGCAAATGAAGGCAGCTGCTGGCTGAGGTACAGAACTTCACTGTATTTGCCTTTCTCACTTCACCCTTTCCCCTGCCCTACTCCCTGCGCCCTGCCTAGGCTTTACAGTCAAACTCCAATTCCCTGAACCCGCCAGGGGTGAATGGATGAGGTCTTTGGTTATGCTCTGAGTCAATAATTTGGTGAGGAAATTAAAGAATGAACTGACTGAGGCCACGAGTTGATGCGTCTCCATCACTCAGCTGCGGTCTCTCCAATACTGCTAGATGTTAGGTAGACAAGCCATGAATGGAGCTAAGGTTATAAGAAGCACTTTTGGTTTCATTGACACAGAGGGAAAGCCTAATGAGTTGTTTTTTTTTTCCCCTGTAGTTACAGAAAACCAACATTCTACTCAGATCTTTCGCACCAAGTATGGTGCCACACACCCATTGGATGCTCAATGGGTAAGAACTGGGGGGAAAAAAAAAGAAAAAACCAGAACCTGGGTCTAACTGGAGCCTCCTCTGATCCATGCAACAGTCAGAGGCCTTATCCCCAAGGAAGAACAGTGGCACATCAGTCTCCTCTGCCCCTTGAAAATTCTAGGGCACCCCATGTCTGGTTTCTATGTCACCACACTCCATTTTCAGTCTCAAAGACAGAACACCTACCCGTGCTTAACCCCCATTTTCTTTCTATGGAAAGGAGCATCAACAGCCAGGACGTTCCCTGAGCAAAGGGGCTAATCAAAATCTCTAAGTGAAGGCCACTACCTTCAGGGCAGACAGAAAGGGGGATCTACGATTTTTGTGCTGGCAAGCCATCTTAGGAATGTGAAAGTTGAAAATGCTTTTTATTGAGATCTTGGCCCTGGGAGCCAGAAGAGCTCTTTCTCTGGGAGCATAAATGAAATACTTCTTCTGAACTTCAGTCTGCTTTTTAGTAATGTGGGGAGCACTTAATCTCCCAGGGTTGCTAAAGTACCAAAAAATGTGAGTAAAAAGCCTCTGAGAACAAGATTCAATTTCTAGGAATCCTTCTGTGTCACAGAAGCAGTCTACCTGGAGCCACCCAGCTTCCTGTCAGTCCTGCCATCCGTCACCCTCCAGGGAAGGGCCACGCCTACCTCAGGTCCCCCCTTCTGCAATCAGCCCACAGAAACATGAAAAGGCATTTCCACCATGGACTCACTCCCTACGGGAATTTGTCTGAATTCTGGAAATGTCCCTGGTTGGCTGCTTGAATCCTGATCAATCAATTTTACAGATTCTTGCCTCTATGAACTCACTCTTCTGTGACTTTTAAGGTTAATTTTCCTATAGGGTCAGCCTACTTAGAGAAATGAGATGCTGAGAATTACCTAACATAACCTGCACATATCTTAACATTAATTACATTTTCGGTCTAAGCAATAAAATTAACTCGGTTAAACGAGTTTCATCGTGCACCGTGTACTGGCTTACCTGTTGGTAGAATACACGTCACAGTGTTGGTTAACTAACAAACTCCTTGCTCTCATAAGCCTTATTAAGGATCTTTTCTCTGTTTCCCTAATATAATGAACTTTGGTTTGGTTTGTGAGATGGATGGGAGGCAGGGGCTAATACTGGAATTTGTAACTTGACGTTGGATATCATACCTAGGCCCTCCCCACTGCTGGACCGCTCTGACAATTTCTCTCCACACAAAGCATTCCAGTCCAAGGAGAACAGCTAGGGGCATGACGAATCTACTGGCCAGGTTATCACTAAGCTCAAAGCCTTGGGACTTTGATAGAACTGGAGAAAAACACCCAAAACTCTATGTACAAAGAAATGCTGATCTCACTGAAGCCTTTGCATACCAAAGGGGAAAGATGCACTAACCTGTAATGGTTCAAATCTAAGCTATTCCCAGCATTGCCCCACCCCACCCCCTTCCTTGTCACAAGGCTCTTCTCTTACTAAGGGTCAGGAAAAAAGGTTAGACAGTCAGAATTCCTAACTGGTTCTACTTTTTATTTTTTCTGGCCCGGTATCTGAGCCATTTCTGCAGGAGCTCCCAAACTACTGCCCCCCTTTGGTCCCTGTCCTCCTCGATTACTGATTTTAGTTGGTTGGTGGCCAGAGCCTTTGGGATGTTTGGATCTTGCACCCATTGCAAATGGCAGTCCCCCTCTTCTCACCTACGGTGGCTGAAGAGGCAAAGATAACCCGAAGGAGCAGTGAGGCATCAGAGTTACTAAAACCACCTGGGCTTTTCACTCTCTGCCTCCACAACACCCCCAACTCAGCCCAGGAGAACCAGGCCCCTGCGCCCCTACAGTTAGGGCCAGTTCTTGCGTTCGCACAAGCTAACCTGGCACAGTCGGTGTCAGGAACAGAAGCTTCTGATCAGAGAGAATGCAGTCATGAGGTATTTTTTTTTTCCTCTTTGTCCTTTTAGACAAGTCGATTATTTCAAGCCTACGTTACCGGGACCCCGGGAGCAGCACAATTTTGTTCCTACCTCTAACGGCCCATCCCCTGCCCACCCCTGGGACCCCCAAGGCTCCCCCTTCCTCTCTACCTCACACCCCCATGCTGTGCCACTGCTCTCCTGACAAGAGGCCATCAGGCAGCTCTTACATGGGCCCTAGGGCCCTTATCAAGGTGGGTTGCCGCCATGTGGTCAGGCATCTGTTCCTTTCGTTGTTTTGTTTTCAGCCAACACTAGAACAGAGAGAGAAGCCAGGATCAACTCACAAACAGATACAAAGCAAAGAGACAGAGAGACAGCGATTTAGAGGCCGGTCACCAGAAAGACGGCGTCAGGGTGGGAGAATGCCCCAGATGGCAAGGCCCCTAAATGGATGGAACCAAGTGTTCAGTCACTCTCTCACGCTTGGGTAGAATGTTCGGTTGGATGGTGTTCACGTGGACACTGGGTTAGGTGGATACCCTCCGATCAGTCCCAGCCATTGTCCTTGATCATGTGTGCTAGCTCAATGATGTATTTGCCTTCTTTATATTTCTGGCTGCTTTCAAAGGCATGTTCCTAGGAGACACAAAGGAAGAGAAAAGACACCGAATGACCAAAGACAAGTAGGTGACTTGTAGCACAGAAGTGATCAGGCCCAGCCTGGCCCAGACTGAGAGAATTCCCGCCACTCAGACACACCACATCCCCTTCACTGAGCTCCAGCTCCGAGACAGCGCCAGGACTCTCAATATTTACAACCGAGTTTCGATATTTTGCAATTTAAATATTCTAAACATTTTTTCTCAATATTTACAGTAGAATTTCTTCAGGATTTCTGCTCATTTAAGGCTTTGCCCAAATGTCACCACCTTAGTAAGGTCTTTCCCAACGATTCTACTTTAAAAGCACAACTTCCACCCCAGAACACCCTCCCCGCCCCTCTCCCTGCTTCATTCTTCTCCACGGCACTTATCATTTTCAAACACACAGTACAACCCGCACATCTACTATACCTATTGTCTTTCACCAGGACGACACAAATTTCATGGCAGGCAGAGGTTTTCATCTATTTTGTTCACTGCAGTATCCCTCGTGCCTAGAAGACTGCTTGCCAGATAATAGGTCTTCAATAAATAACTGCTGAGTGAGTGTGTGAATGTGTGTGTGTGCGTGCATGTGTGAGAGAGCGTGCATGTGTAAAATCTGAGAGGAACCTGGTTTCAGATGCTAACCAGAAATGTGCTCTATAGATGTATCCATGAAGTTTCTATGTCATAATCCTCAATTGTACTGTTACACTTAGAGAAAAGACACTCAGGGAGAGAACAAAGTATTGGGAGGCCAAATAGGTCTCTCTCTTATTTATCTTGCTGTTTCTATGTCAGGTGTGTTAAGTCTGTTTTTTCTTCACCACCTTTCTCCAGGGAGTAAGGAGCTACATGAACTCTAGGCTGAAGAACCTGGCAGCCCTCACGCCCCACCCAGCTGCCAGGCCTCCAGAGAGAAAATGCAACAGAAACCACCTGGCAATTTACCATCCTAAATTTACAACACTGTGGGTGGGCTTGCAGGCTAATAAGCCCCATAGGAAAGAAAAAAGAAAAAAAAAAAAAAAAAGCCCCGCATAGGTATAGGCTCAAAGGGATATTTTCTTCCTAGGCATAGATGTATAAAAACATCTTGGTGTACTATATGGAAAGCATTGGTCATCACAGTCATTAGATGGCTGAGCTCGATGTGCACAAGCTGTGGACATCAGCTCTTTTCCCAAGTCTTCCAACTTAGTAAGTAACTCAACCCTCCTGCCTGTAGGTTCTGGGCAGCATTTGTATGAACTGCATCTTCTGTTCCTAGAGCTCTGGGGAATTGAGTCTCCTAATAAGAGCTCACACTTGAGCCTCTTGTTGAGAGAGGAATCATTCCACAAAGTGGAGAGGGGAGGGGCGCTGAGAGGGAATGTGCAAACACATCACACACACGCAAGAGCTGTGGACTCAGCAGTCATTTCCCTGACACTTCATTATTCCTCAGCTCCGTGTATGTGTGTGTGTATGTACACAACAAAGGAATGTGTTTCGAGACTAAGACCTATTGTTCCATGCAGTGTGTTTAGGATAGGGAGGAGGTAAAAAGAAAACTAGGAAAGTAAGAATATATCCCTATTAAACAAACAAAAGTCAAAAGAAAAAAAAAATTCTACAGCCCCCACGTGCCCCACAGGGCACTTCCAAAATGTCCTAACTGGACAGAACACTAGATCTGGAGTCTGCAGAAACACCCCAGACTGAATCCTGGCCCCAGAAGCATCACTTAACCAATTGCATTTACAGTCGCAAACTTTCCATTTACAAAACTGGGATAATTAAAAGTACTTCACAGGATTAACTATGAGGGTCAGAAGAAATAATGGAATGAAGGATTGGAGCACGGGCCTGGGACATGAGGGGTAATGTATTTGGGAGATGGAGGTTTCTCTACTGTCCTATCATTATGCCTGTCCAGCTGTTTTATCCATTTACCTGTAAGCTTTACTCCTTGATACCATGACTGTAAACACTCCCAAGGGCAAGCATTAGATCACATTTACTTTTGTATCCAACACAAAGGCTTTTAATAAACCTCTATCAAAGAAGTGAATCATTTTACCTAAAGTAAGGAGCAAAACCAATGAACTCAGATTTATCGTCTGTCTGTAATCCTGTACATCTTCAATGGAATAAGATGACCAAGAGGTTGGGGAAACAGAAGGGCAGAACATTTCTGAATAATCAAAACCAGAACTGTGGCCCCCAGATCGCCCAGAGGGGGCCACCGGCCATACAGGTGGGAACAGAATAGCCAAGGCCAGTTTTTCCCACAGGAAGCAATCAGGGCAACCATAGGGATCTGTGACCATCTTGGCATCGTGAAACATGCCATCTAGGGTGTTTCTTGCTAATTCTGAACATTTCAAGGGAGATGTGAAAGATGGCATCTAAAGGCAATGCAGCCCCACTGCGGCAGTTAAGATTCACACATTTTTGAACTTCGGTTAAATGGAATCATACTTTGCTGAACATCTTTTTTATTTAAATAGATTTCTTCATGTTTTTAGAGCAGTTTTAGGCTCATAGCAAAAAGGAGCAGAAGGCAAGGAGGTTTCCCCTGTACTCCCCGCTCCCACATAACACGCAGCCTCCCCCATTCCTGGAGTCCCACAGAGTGGTGTGTTTTTCACAATCAACAAACCTACACTGACACATCATCATCACTCTGCGGGCAGTTCTGACAACTCCTCCGGGCTCTCCCAAGCTAACAAACAAGCTAACTAACCACAGGTCATATAAGCCAGCCCCACACTGACCCTGGGCAACTGACAGGACAGGGAATTTATGGCATTTTACGTGGAATAAGTTGTCCTCCCAGAGCCAGGAAGACTCAACATCCCCACCATGACTGGGCAGAAAAAAGCATGTGAAAATATCTGCCAATAAGAAATATATCTACCAGCAATAACAACAAAAGTTTATTTTCACGGATCATCTATACCTCCTCTCACCGTGGCGAAGGACTGCTCACTCTAGGTATCAAGACATTAAAAATATTTGTTGCGTTAAACAGCGAAGGAACGAACGTCCACTAGGGAGAGTCCAGCCATGACTCTATCTAACAGAGGACATTAATTAACATGTTTGATGATGCCTAGCACAGGGCCTAGGACCTGAGGAATGTTTTGGGGACATTTACTGGGGCAAAGAGCATGGGCTCTGCAGTGAGATTCCTGGATGCCTAATATCCTGGTTTGGCCATGTAATGGCTGGATAACATCAGATATACTATTAACCTCCCTAAGTCTCCGTCTCCTCAGCCCTATTTTATGGATGGGTAAGGAAGCTTTACCCACCAAGGAAGCTGTGAAGAGTGAATAAAATAATATAGGCTTGGAAAGAGTAAGCTGTCAGGAAATGTCATGTGCTGCTATTATTATTAATTAAACTGTAAAGCAGATGTGTATCTGTCTGTCTCAGGGGCAGGTGCAAAGGAATGAGCAGGAGAAGGGGACTGTCAGAGAAAAGGGAACAATGAGTGTGGTAGACAGGAGTGTGCCAGGAATAGCTCTTCGGGTTCCACTGCCTGTTCCTGGATGAAGATAATCCCACAAGGTCACAGGAAGCCAGGAGAAGAAAGCAATCTTCCAGCACGAGGCTCTCGGTTACTCCCTCACAGTCCTCTCGCCACCGACCAGACTCCTCAGTACTCACATATTTCCAGCCCAGAGTGGTTTTGCAGTTTTCACAGTAAATGTCTGCGACTGCATGGAGTCCTGTTAGCAACACTCGCTCTTCTGCAGGCCCGCAGCCCACATTAACTCTGTGCCAAGGGACAGAGAGAGAGAAAGGGTGGTTAGTCACACATTCATCCTCGGTCGTTCAAGCAGAGCTTGCAGCGAGAAAGTAACTGAGCACGGATGCCTCAAGGGACGCTGGCACTGAGAAGGGCGTTGTTTATGACCAAAAGGGATAACAGTCCCCAAAAGGTAGCCACGTGGAAACATCTCCATTGAAATGCATTTGAGATCTGCAAGTTCTGATTCAGTGAGTCTATGAAAAATAGTCTGTACGGTTGAGACTTTGCTTGGAAGGTTTCTAACTAATGCTTCTAATCTTGTGACCTAAGGGGACCAACGGATGGCCACACTGTGAAGACCACAGCCATGAGCACGGGTCCTCAGCTCAGAGCTTACTGAGGACTGAATGCAGCTGAAGATGTCAAACGGGACATCTGCACAGTCTTTGCCTGATTACAAGGATGAATGAGCCCCGTAGTATCTCCAGCTGAACATGTGAGATTGTCATTCTCACAGTTCATCACACTTCTGTGAGTGTCCCCCCCTTCCTTTCCCAGGTAAGAGGCTACAAAGGATGTGCCCAGCAGTGACAGAGAGCCCTATAGGCCGCGACTGCAGTGGGGGAGGCTCTTCACTACCCGGGCTTTTTCCTCCAGCCCCAGCTCCTGCAGTGGATCCCCATGTCTTTTGTTCGACCTCCTCTCCTCCCGGATGACTCATCTTAGACCTGGCTATGAAGCCTCCATGATGAGGCTCTCGGAAGCACTTCAACGTCTTCCCTATGAGCCTACAGCCCTCTGATGTGCCTACTGTGGGTAGTAAATGTATTATTTTTAGCCAAAGATGCTGCCCCCCCCCAAAAAAATTCCCCAAAGATAACTGGCTACCTAATGTGGATAGTAATGTTCTGCAGGGTTTCTATTGTCGCAGAGGGGGCAGGGGCCATTGTTTAATTATGACTGAGTGCTGCTTTCCCCCCCACCCGACAAAATTTGCACCAAACCATGGATGTACCAGAGACACTCACACTGAGTTAAAGAGGTATGCTCGTCCTTGACTTCCTTGGAACGACTGAAATGCAAGGAAACAAATTGATAGTTAGATATCCATTTCATCCACCCATTCGGGAAACCAGCCCTAAATCACAACAATGACAACCTTCCAGGATTGACACAGCAAAAAAAAAAAAAAAAAAAAAAAAAACGGCCCTGAGCCATTTAGTAGAGGAGCTGGCAGCTAGCATGAGGGAGGGCAAGAGGAGAGCATAAACACAGCCACAGAGCTTGGGCCAGCCCACACTTGGACTGTTCTCACCAGCCCAGGTGAGAAGACAGAAAAACCAAACTCCACAATGTCACTGAGAACTTCTTCCCTCCTGACACCGTCTGTTCTATTAATCCACCCAAGATAATCCACACTGGCCTTTGCTGGACCTACTTATTTCAGGCATCTGTGCTGGCCACAGCTTTCCTCGAGGTGGTTAGGGAAATCAGTGGGGGCACCTTTGCTTGCCCTCTTGGCCCAACCCCGAGAAGATGCCAAAGGATCCCCAAGGCAAGAAAGAATACACCACCAAACCTACACTTCTCACGTCTTGTGATCCTAACTGCCGTTAAGAGTAACAATCCTCTTGCCTGGGAGCACGGGCACTCTCCTTTTGAGGTGTAAGCAACTTGATCTCTAGATCACAGCAACACTCATTAAGCAGCAATCCCATTTTAAATCCCAGCTTCGATATGAGCTGTTCTCTTCCAGCTCAAGGGCAGCAGAAGCTGGAGAAACGTGAGCCAGGGCTTGCCATGCAGTTTGGCATCCACTTCCATTAAGACAGGCCCTTGCCGTGTTTCCCTCCTCTGGTGACACCGACAGGTCCGGCTGACATGAGCCATCCGCGTACCGCTGCTGCCTGCATTTTTAATGTGGTCTGACAGTCGTACTCTGGATCCAACGTCCTAGTCTCCTCCGAAAACCACTCTAAAAACAAATAAAATAAGGGGACTCTCCCATGACCTCTATTACTCCGTGGCTGGAGAAATCCAGTGGTGACTAGTTAACAGAGGACCAGAGGGTAGGAGAGAACCAGACAGGACACAGATCACTGCACACCAGACAGCCACTGTCAGAAATACCGGACTTCAGGGATCAATGCCGCCAGCCAGAAAGAAAGGCAAGATTTCGGACTTGTGGAAAAAGCTGCCTTTGGGACAGCTTGATTGTTGGTTGCCTCCAACAGGCAAACGCACCAAAGGCCTGTGCTCCCAGGTGTAGCTCCAAGAAGCAAGCAGATGTTCCCCAGCTGCTGCTCAGGCCTAAACCAGCTCTTCCCTTGGGTTTTGAAACATTCCTGGGGAACAGAAGAAACTCCCAGGCTGAATGAAGCAGGAATAGTTGTGTCCCAGCCTTGAAAACCTGGAGGTCTATGCCAAGTGTTTGGAAGAGACAATGTCCCTGTGACACAGACTATGGATTTAGACAACCTGTTAGTTCAACCCTGGAGCACAAAGACACCCAAGCACTGGCAGGGAAGCCAAAGCTTCACCGTCTGGCCCCACCAACCTCTGCGGTCCCTTCTCTCGCTATAGCGTCCTCTGCTCTAGTCAGGCCAAACCACACGCAGTTCCCTGGAACTTGCCATCTCACCAATTTGCCCATGACGTTCCCTCAGATGGGAAGGCTCTTCCACCCTCAGCTCAGCTTGCTCTCTTCCGTAAGGCTTTCCCTGACCTCCCCCCAGAAGAGGTACCCGTTGGCCCCCATGTTCTGGACTCCTCCTGTGCCCTGTCTGTGCCTCTTTCTTAGCACTTAACATACTGGATCTAATTGATATGTTTATTTTCTAACAACCTCACTAGATGGGGAGCTCCCTGGAAGGTATGGGCCAAGGCTTCACTCTCTCTGAAACCCTAGCACAGAGCACATGAGTCTGGTATACTGTAGGCCTTTAATATTTATTCCACAGGTGAACTGCCTCTAACTTCCTTTATTTCTTTAAGTGGCTTTACTGATGTATAAGTCATGTCGTAAACTGTACCTATGTAAAGTGCACTATTTGTATCTACCTGTGAAACCATCACCGCAATCACGACTGTCATACCCAGAAGTTTCCTCGCGTCCCTCTTCACCTTATTGCCTTCCCTCCCCTCCTCACTCCTTTCCCACTCATCCACAGGCACCCACCGCCATCACTGTTGCTTGCATTTTCCAGTTTTTTATAAGTGAAATCACACAGTATGTAGTGCTTTTTGTCTGGCTTCTCTTACACAGCATCATTCTTCCAAGATTCATCCACGCTGTTGCATTTTATCAAAAGCTCATTCCCTGGGGCACCTGGGTGGTCCCATCAGTTAAGCTTCCGACTCTTGGTTTCAACTCAGGTCATGAACTCAGGGTCGTGAGATTGAGCCCTGCGTCCGGCTCCCTGCTCACTCAGCATGGCGTGTGCTTATCCCTCTCTCCCCCTCATCTCTCTCACTCAAATAAATAAACATAATCTTTTAAAAAAAAAAAAAGCTCATTCCCTTTTTATTGCTGAATCGTATTCCATTCTATGGATTTAACCATAATTCCTTTGTATTTTTTTATTTTCATAAGGGATTTGGACTAGTCAACCTCCCAAGTCCCCTTACAGCTCCAAAATTATATTCTTTTATGATTCCTGGTTCTACATTATGGATAATCAGGAGCGTCATCTTCTAAGAAACATTTGTTGTAAACTTCAAGTTTGGAGCTTAGAAGAATGAGGCTATGGGAAAATAAATTCTAGAAGAAAGCAGACAGGAAGATAACACAAAGCAACACAGCTCTACCATTTATAACAGGATGAGGTATTTATTTCCCAAACAAACACAGATCTGCTATACCTAGAGATAACTGGGAATATAGGGAGAGAAGCAGCATTTAAGACTTTCCAGGGTAGAGGCATCCCCAGAAGGTATATAAGACAATCAGGGTAGGGGAAAAAAAAAACACCTAAATTTTTAATCTACTTTTATCTTTCTTTCCTTCCTTCTTTTTATATTTTTCTCTTAAAAAAAAATGGTTTCACTAAACAGTCAGAGATTTGCCACTGGGATCTTCCCTGGGTTAGTGTCATGTGCGCACAGGTTATCTAGAAGGAAGTGTGGGGCTCTCATTGTACACGTGTGTGGTGTGACAGCGGTGCCCTTCAGTCTTCGCTTTCAGCTTATCGTGAACACTGCTGTTTTCTGTGCAACAGGATGTCAAGAATGAGACTAACCTTAAGTTAAGACAAAACGAAACGAAACGAAACAGGATATTTGGGGCTCCTGGGTGGCTCAGTCGGTTGGTCATTTCGGCTCCGGTCATGATTCCAGGGTCCTGAGATTGAGCCCCACGTTGGGCTCTGTGCTCAGCAGGGAGTCTGAGAATTCTCTCTCTCCCTCTGCCTCTGCCCCTTCCCTCTGCTCATTCTCTCTCTTCCCCCCCCAAAATAAATAAAATCTAAAAAACAGGATATTTAAACAGTAGGATCCTTGCAATTTTTTGTATATATAGGATAGCTCACCACGAAGAGGTTCATTTATATCAAAGTACTTAAAAATGTAAAGAAGTTATACATTTTCCTTTTGTAAAAAGATGAGCATTCCAAACTCTCTGGCCTTTGCTGTAAAAAGGAGCTTGACATTCATATGGTACTCTTATTCTGCAATATTTTCCAAAAGAATAAACCCACAAAAATTTGTCCCTTTAAAGAATAGGTGACATTTCAACAGGGAATGAGAATATAACTTCTTTTCAAAAGGAACTTATGCTATGGAGAGAACTGGTATCTGGCAATGTATTCGTTTTTTATGATCTTTGTAGTTTAGAATTGACATGACTATACAAAAAATTGATTCAAAACGGATGATATTTGGAAGAAAATGCAGGTGGAAATCTTCGTGTTAGAAAAGATTTCTTAGATCCTGCCCCAGAAACAATTTATAAAAGAAAAAGACTGCTAAACTGAACTTCATCAAAATCTCAAACTTACTCTGAAAAACCGATAAAAAGAAAAGTTAAGCCATAGACTGGGAAAAAAATATCTGGAAATCACATATATGACAAAGCACTTGTACCTGAAATATATAAAGAACTCTCAAAATTCAACAATAAGGAACAAATGCCCCAATTTTAAAATGAGCAAAAGAGGCTCTCGGCTCCTAGCCCATTCGTCAGACATCAGAATCTGCTGGTGCAGGGCCAGCCACATCCCCGAGACACAATGGTAATGTCAGAGTAAATGGATTTGGTCATATTGGGCACCTGGTCACCAGGGCTGCTTTCAACTCTGGCAAAGTGGATACTGTCACCATCAGTGACACCTTCACTGACCTCAACTATGTGGTCTACATGTTCCAGTATGTCAAGCTCATTTCTTGGTATGACAATGAATTTGGCCAGAGCAACCAGGTGGTGGACGTTATGGTCTATATGGCCTCCAAGGAGTAAAAGCCCCCTGGACAACCAGCCCCAGGGAGAGCAAGAGGAAGAGAGAGGCCCTCAGCTGCTGGGGAGTCCTTGCCCCAACTCATCCCCTGACACACTGAGAATCTCACGACCTCTAGACAGTTTACATCCCAGACCCCCAAAGAAAGGGAGGGACTCGGGGAGCCCTACCTTATCATGTATCATCAATAAAGTGTAGTATACCCAGCCAAAAAAAAAAAACCTCAAAAAATAACCTCAAAAATAGTTTTAAATAAAAAATAAAATGAGCCAAAGATTTGAACAGACTTCACCAAAGATAAACAGATGGTAAGTAGTCACATGAAAAGATGCTCAGCATCACTAGTCACTGGGGTAAGTACAAATTAAAAACACAATGAGATCAAAACCACAATGAGATACCACCTCACACCCGTCAGAATGGCTAAAACTAACAAGTCAGGAAACCACAGATGTTGGCGGGGATGCGGACAAAGGGGAACCCTCTTTTTTTTTTTTTTTTTAAAGATTTTATTTATTTATTTGACAGAGAGAGACACAGCAAGAGAGGGAACATAGCAGGGGGAGTGTGAGAGGGAGAAGCAGGTTTCCCACTGAGCAGGGAACCCGATGTGGGGCTCGAT